GTGTCTTTTGCAAATTATTTCACTCAAGTGAAAATTTAAATAAGCAAGCTTTCCAATACAGCATTAACATAATTACCAAAGCTCCTTCACCAAACTCTTCTTTCTCCAAAAGTAAACTGTCCAGCTTCTCCTGCAATGAACGGTTCTCCTGTGTAAGGAGGATGATTTGCTCTTTTTGAACCTGAAGCTCATCACTTGCTCTACAGCTTTTACTTTCTGATACTTCCACAGCAAGCTGATCTCTCTCAGATGTGATTATTTTCATTTCTTCTCTCATTTCTGAGATCTATTAAAAATGATACACAAAGACAGCATTTCCATCAATTCAAAATAAAATTAAATGCTGAAGATTTGTTTGATTCACTCTTCTACAATGTTTTTCACATGAAGCCAGTACAAACAAAGTAGAAAAGCTTCCAGACCAAATCTGTTATTCAGAAAGTGTACAAAGCAGCAAGGATTCAAAACCCACTTAAAATTATTCTGTCTACACAGTGTCTTTTAAAAACCTGGAATCAGTGTTCAGTTTCTGATTAAATTAAACCTGCACTCATTTGATAAACAGACATTCACTTGAAAGATGGACCAATCCAATGGATTATGAAGTAGAGACAATTTGAGTAGCTGAGTTAAGAGTAGTAGTAGAGAGAGTAGCTGAGATACAAGCTTTAGACATAAAAACAGTGGATAGATAAGAAATTGACAATAGTGCAGCATATTAAAGAGTGATCCAAATTGCCTTAAAGTTGTTCAACGATCTCCAAAATTACATAACCAAAATACATTATGAGAATGTAAAAAATTTTAAGACAGGGAAAGGCACAGAGGTCAAAGTGTATTTTTGACTCTAAACAATATTCAGTCATTCATTATCGATTGAATAATTTTGTTATGAAAAACATTTAGTTATGAAAAATGATCATAGTTCGCTGATCAAGCTGCACTTGATCATCTTTTCACTACTTCTGTTTTCAAGGAATTCTTATGAGAAGCAGTACATGATAAAAGAAAAGAAAAAAAAACCTAAGTTAATTTTGTTGTATGTTCTCAACATCTGCAACTGAAGTTGACAGAGAACATGTACTTCCCAACCCAACAGAACTTTCAGTTTTCCTGACCAAACTGCTTCTGACCTTCTGCTGCAGTTCATCACTTTGTTCCTTCAATTCCTCTTGCACCTTCCAGAGCTGATTTTCTTTCTCTGAAATATTTCCTTTCAGCTCCACAATCATCTCCTGATGTTGTCCAAGAGATTCACGAGTACATCTCAACNTTTTCAAAAGTAAACTGTCCAGCTTCTCCTGCAATGAACGGTTCTCCTGTGTAAGGAAGATGATTTGTTCCTTTTGCACCTGAAGCTCATCACTTGCTCTACAGCTGTTGCTTTCTGATATTTCCACAGCAAGCTGATCTCTCTCTGATGTGATTTTTTTCATTTCTTCTGTCATTTCTGAAATCTATTAAAAAGGATACGCAAAGACAGCATTTCCATCAATTCAAAATAAAATTAAATGCTGAAGATTTGTTTGATTCACTCTTCTACAATGTTTTTCACATGAAGCCAGTATAAACAAAGTAGAAAAGCTTCCAGACCAAATCTGTTATTCAGAAAGTGTGCAAAGCACCAAGGATTCAAAACCCACTTAAAATCATTCTGTCTACAGATTGGCTTTTAAAAACCTGGAATCAGTGTTCAGTTTCTGATTAAATTAAACCTTCACTCATTTTCATGAGAGACATTCACTTGAAAGATGGACCAATCCAATGGATTGTGAAGTAGAGACAATTTTAGTAGCTAAGTTGAGAGTAGTAGTAGAGTAGCTGAGATACAAGCTTTAGACATAAAAACAGTGGATAGATAAGAAATTGACAATAGTGCAGCATATTAAAGAATCAGCTAAACTGCCTTAAAGTTACTCAAGGATCTTCAGAATTACCTATCTAAATAAAATTTTTTACATGCTAATAATGTAAAGACAGGGAAATGCACATAGGTCAAAGTGTATTATTGACTCTAAACAATATTCAGTCATTCAGCACCAAGACATATTTAGTTATGAATAATGGTCATAGTTTGCTGATCAAGCTGCATTGTTCATCTTTTCACTACTTCTGTTTTCAAGGAATTCTTATGAGAAGCAGTACATGACAAAAAAAAAAAAAGGAAAAAAACCTGAGTTAATTTTGTTGTATGTACTCAACATCTACAACTGAAGTTGACAGAGAACATTGGGTTCTTGGGTACTTCCCAACCCAACAGAACTTTCAGTTTTCATGACAAAACTGCTTCTGACCTTCTGCTGCAGTTCATCACTTTGTTCCTTCAACTCCTCTTGCGCCTTCCAGAGCTGATTTTCTTTCTCTGAAATATTTCCTTTCAGCTCCACAATCATCTCCTGATGTTGTCCAAGAGATTCACGAGTACATCTCAAC